ACCTTAGGCGGCGAGGCGCTCCCAGTGCTAACATTAAGCCGCAGCCTGCTTGCCCACACCATACCAAGAAGGTGTGCATTGGGAATTCCAAAAGCTTCTTCGCTTTAATTCGAAAGCTTCTTGACCGAAACATATACGTGTCACCAATATGCAATATCCCGCACCATAAGCGGCAGCTCTTGGACTTATGAACGCCCGTTTGGTTGCCTGACCGGGGCGTCCTGCCCCTTTTTTCCGATTTGTCTTCCCAAGGAGACAAGAGGGTTGTGAGTCAAAACTACCTAGATCTGGCATGTGTTCGCGATCTTGGTGTCGTGCGTGATCTTGTTGTTTAACGCGAGCATTCCCGTGACGGCTACGTACACTGGTTTAAGTATGCGGCTGCTCTTCAGCCCGGCAGCCCGGTCTTAGCCTGATATCGAATAGGATTCAAGGCACATATGTGCACATGAGATATGCAATTCTTGGGAACGGAAATGGCTATCGCTACCTCAGTCCTCTCTTCCTGGTACAGTAGCTTGGATGCTATCTGTACGACACTGGATGCTAAGAGATCAGCCATGCCGCTTGAAATTGCAGGTTATCTCAGAACCATATTTGCCATTCCCCGGAAAAGGTTGCCCGGCTATCCATTTTTTACTTCTCTAGTGTAGTTGCCTTACACTACTCTTTTCTACGTGTCGTAGAGTGTTCGTTCTGGAATCCGTTCAACATGTCGTCAGGCACTTGACCAAGGCATGATCAATTTAAAGAAGGTGGGGCTAGGCAAGCTGCAACGAGTCAAGAAAACAGAGTGCTAGTTTACAGCCTGAGTCGTCTTCAAAGATCTCGGTGTGGAAATACCTGAGATTCACACCCTCTTGACCATGCGTCTTCGATGAATTTTCACATCGACGTTGAGCTTCACCAAGCCAGTCTAGATGAGCAGTCTGACAACATGTAAATATCCCATCATTGTGATGGCAGCCTTTCAATACTTGCCTCGTATCAAATCTTAATACCCCTGGTGTCTTCAAACTTGAGCAAAAACAAAACGCGATCATGTTTTGATCTGACAATTGGATGACCTCGACATCCCTCAGGCTAGCACCCTCCCATGTGCGTACACAATACGACGCCTCACACAGCCTGCTTCATCCAATGCTTCAAGACCATCTACTCGCCAAACATCATTGGCTACCTAAGAAGTAATGTCTCGAAACTTGCACAACACTAGCGACCTTGATGATCTGATATGCACCTACTTTCCATCATCATGTTTTTGGTGTTCGGTGCAGAAAGCACGCAATACCGAAACTTGGAAGTGTAGGAGTTGATACTTGCTGGTACTTTCTAGGCTACCATGGCAGGCCAATCGCGGCAAGTCGGAATAGCCTTTCGCACCCTTCTCCGTTCAAGGATGATAGCCACTGCTTGCGGGCTACCGTGCCACAGGCTTGCGCATCAGTCGCTTCAACACCTGTGGAACTTATACGATGGATCCCCGCACTTTCAGGCAGATCATGTAAGACCGGTCAGTAGTCGAATCAATGAAAGTTGAACTTCAGGATGATCTCCTGCATCTCTATTTTGTGCATCTCTCGCGACCAGGAATTATCTCGACGCTTACCAGGTGCCAGGCTGCGAATTCCCCGCGAATATGGATCTTCTCCTTTATGGGATTCTAGGCCGAAACACGCCGATTTTGGGCAATGTTACCTATACATCATCACATCTACGTTATCATAGGCCAAGCCCCTGGTCATAAAGGGATGCATGTAGCTGCCTGCGTATCTAGCTGCATGTCACCCGCCATTGTTTGGTTGGCTGTTCCAGCTGCATTGGGGCTGTGCAGCCAAACCCCTCATCTGGAACTTGGATGGAAGCTCTGCTGAGATCACGATCTATTTCCTTGACAAGAGCTCCTGTGCTGATCACCAAACTGGAGTTTCTCCAATGCTTTCGTTCATGATGACAGTAGCGATCTCATGCACATTTCAGCAAGATCCAAGCTTGGAATTATTGAATCACGATGTTGATATCACCTGGACATTGCATACAGACATCAGGATTTCGGTGTGCACAGACGAGCAAGATGATACAATGTCTCACCGAGAAGTTGGAATGGAGGGGGTTGAGAAGTGTCTTGGGTGGTGTCTCAATCCACGGCGAGGATGCATGCCTTGCATGATGCTGCGGGCGTTCAAAAAGTGCAATACCTAGTGGTAATTACCCCTCGAATTCCAAGCTGAATGAGACCCAACTACACGTCTTCCAGAAAACACCAAAAAGACAATAGCCAGAGCATCGAGAGCCCCCAGTCTAGCTCAGCAGATGAACCATTCAGGAACAGCTCAACAGTTGTCGATTAAGCTGGATATAGCCATTGCGTTACGGAATTATGCCGAATGAGAGATTCGGTGAGGTTGGGAGGTTTGCTCACAGCCTGTTCTTGTGCTGTATTAAATTTCCGGAGACGGTTGGCGCGTTTCGCGCTCGTGCTACGCACGAGGACGGCACATGGACAGCAGGGTTTAGCTACGACCTCTGATTCCCCCTGGGCTGTTCGCCTAACTAGTTTAAGGCTATAAGCAGCAACTGAAGCACGATTTACAAGGGAAAGGAGGCAGGCAGACAAGGCGTCTAGAACCCATGTGAGTTAGGTATTAGCACGGTTTGCAGGGGATGGCATATGCTGCAATGAGGTAGTTAACCAAAGTGAACCTCAAACACTCCATAACAGGATTGCACTCAAATGAAAACCCGTAATTAATGACATGCAGCTCGTCAGATGGCAACCGTTCCGCATCCCACGGGTGACCGGGTCTTTCTGTTACTCTGAAGGCACTTGCGCTTCGAGGATCTTGAAAGGCGCATCGAATCCCTCGGACAAGCTGACTGCGAGTTCGGGCGGCTGCTGACAAGTCCTGAGAGGTTAGTGAGCTGACGATCAAATCCCATGACGACCGAAAGACGACGGATAGATATAAGCGCATAAGCCCCCACCACGTCACGAAGGAGCTGACCTTCTAGCACAGCAAATATCGACCAATGCTAAAGTTAGACATAAGCGCTCATAAATCCATTACGGTATCAAGTCCGGCGCATTGCGAAGTTCACCTAAGTTCCGAACTGTGTAAGAGGATCAACGCAGAACGAAAGCTACCTAATTCTCCGGGTCCGAGTTCGCACCAAATTCGTCGCGAGGCAACTCATAGGCTGTGTCCAGGCACGGCGAGGCAACCGTCAACCTAGCGCCGTTGTAACACTTTGAGACGCAATAGTTTCGGACGAGAACGGACCCAAGCGGACAAATACCCCCTGCGCAGTCAGCATCCAGGGTCCGCGGAACCGGGCGCTGGTAAGCTCAATTGAACAGTACCACTGGCTCCCAGTATCCCGGAATGGTTTCCGTGGAGACATCCGGGTCGACGGACGTCTGCCGTTCGGTAACGCCGGACTGGACCTGAATTCGCGGCGGCTTTCGGGGTATCTGAAACTACCCGACACCCCGACCTCGGACGGAGAGGTGTGCTTCAGGAAGAAGGCTTCTTCTGCATATTTGCCTTATGCTGACATTTCCCCGAGGTAATTCGACAAGTGCGGTACCTAATGCTGCAAGATTCGGTCCGTAGTGGTATGAGAAATCGTGCGGTTTCGTACATGTGCATGTCCCGTACCTTCCGGTCGTATTTGCCCCAGATTTACCTTTTGCTCCGCCGCAAAATTACGACACCTTGCACACGCCATTCTCCAAGCCAAACGAGCGTAGGATTGAAGTCGCCTTGTCGGCCGAGAAGGTATGTTGGGGGCAGAATTGCGGGCGTACGTCGACGGTTTCGTCAATACGGTGGCTGGCTTCGGATCACGCGCAGCATCGTCGCCGACGTTTGACTTCAATGGTGGGTCGCCTTGTGGAATTGCATTCCACATTGATGGCACCTTGGTGATGATTATCCAATGGTCGATGCATGTTAGTTCGTGTTTGCGTGCAGGTTTCCAAACAGGTTGCGTGTGTCAAGCTGTCAGGCGGGCTAACTCCAGAGGTGGAATGTCACAAACTTTCCTGCGTGCATGGTAAGGATTAGCTATTGTCTCTACGACAATTTAAGCAATTTCACATCCAGATAGACCCCAATGAACTACTATATAGCGAATAACTCCTCGAGTTGCAAAGTCTCTACGTCGGTTTCCCAATTCGTACAGTCATATGCATAGTAGGATAGAGCAATTTTATTGGCCTGAATGAACCTCTATAGAGAGACTCCGGTGCCGATCCTCAGAGTACCGACGGGATATCTAAACCATTCCGAGTACGTTCATACTGTACGGATCTGAAACATCGCTACCTACTTGCTTGTGTATCGCAATAAGTCTCTATAGCTAGATTCAAAAAAAAACAAAATGACAGAACCACGATCGATCTGATTCACTTGATTGCGACCGGTTGGCATATGCAGCGCCGATCTCCCGCTGGGGCCGGGCCGAACTGCATCCCGCACCCGGGCTTGATTCACGGCCATCTCACCAGAATCAGATAACAGAGACGTTACATTTGTGAAATTATGTTTTGAACTATCTACATACTTTAGGCAGTATACATATACTTGAGAACAAAAATCAGCGCAGACTTTAGGAATGGAATCGAGGTGACCCACCTATTGCATTTCTCCCCACCGTATTTCCAACTCATGAGAAGCAAGCGACTCGTTAGCAATACCTCAATTTGCGCTCGCCGGATCGATTGTCAAGCGAGTGATGGAGATACTGCCTCGTACGTGTGTGCACTCGCAGATCTTTTTCGTCTCTGGTTTTCAGCCCAAGCTTGGGCCAGAGATAACGGATTTGTATCCCAGATGCATGTGACTGGTTAACCTTCGCCGGAAGCGTTGCAGCGGACAGGAACATAACCCAGAAGCAAACCAACCAAACAACCAAAACGGCCTGAGAATCGCCGTCGATCTACCCAACAGAGTCTATTGCAACGCCTTCCGCCAAGGGAAAATACCAGTCCACCACGTTCAATGACGTGCGTCAGGGGCATCTGGAATGATCACATCGGCATCGTCAGATGCTCCCGCAGGTGTGACATCGGTGCTCAGGTCAGGGATTTCTATATCGAATTGCGGCGCAACGCCGAATTGCTTCGCTTCCTCGTCGTAAGTCAACCACTTGCCCGATGTTGCCAGTCGGCAACCCAGCCAAAGACAGCGTTGTGAGCGCTCTTCCATCATGGACGCAACCTCAAAATATTTTTCATCGTCATCCACCTTTGTAGCAGTAAACCAATCGCTAGGATAGTACTTATCAACCCAAAGAAGGCCCCGCTGTGCGAAGTCGTCCGGCAAGGGACGAGGGTCGCCCTTGTCTGGCCGGGGGAAGTTCTCTGACTCAATGATGTTGATGGTTTCAGTAGGCATGTCCGTGGGCATGATAGTGTTGAGGAGCAAAGCAATAAGCTTCCAAGGCATCTTCTCTTCTACCAGTCCTATCGCTGCAGGAAACTGTGACAAGTGGAGGAGAAGCGAGAGAGTGACATGTAGGTAGGGTCGGATATTCTCGTCGCCGAATCGTCGCAACACAACGTTATGAGTGCGAGCTGCAAAATCCAGGGCGTCCAGGAACTTCTGTGTTGGAGCAGCTACAATCTCAGCCTCTTCCATTGGGATGTCTGCATCGTCGGTACGGCCAGATTTGATGGCTCTCATGATGGGATTGCTCTCGCTACCATATTCGAGAAGGGAGCAGCCCAACGCGATGGAAATGTAGTATGCGCTATCCAGCCAGCGACGGGTGTGACGTGCGATGTGATTGTCCAGGCTGTCGATGAACTCGTTGATAGACGATGAGAGTTGATCGGTGTTCTTACCCGAAAAGAGAATTGCATGAGCGCGCACAAAGGCTGCGTCAATCTCCTGCAGCCTGGTCTGTGTGCCATTGAGATGCGGGTCGAACAATGTCATAATTGATTCGCGAGCAGACAGGAAAGGAACTGGTACGCAGAGAGACTTGGTGTAATAGAAAAGCTGCTGTAGAGCATTGGGACGAGCCAGAATTGCGAGGTGGTGGTAAAGGCGACCCGTTTGAGGAGCTTTATCGCTAGCCTTTGAGTACCAGTGTCGAGAGACTGAAGTCCACACTTCTCTATCCTTAAGATCATCATCCTCAATGGCCATGCTGTAATGAAGAGTCAATATGTGCGTAGAAGGAAGATTGGTTACAATGTTTGTCTTGAATTTACTGACCGATAGCGGCCCAAGTCGCCGAGGCACTCAATCCAAGTGTCTTCGAAGGTAGGAACAGTCTCGTACAACAGAGCCATCATAGAGTATGCCAAATAAATGAACGTGAGCATGTGTTCGAGCGAGGCGGGCAGACGATGACGCAAAAGCTCCAAGAATGAATGAATGCCATGGCGCCACATGCGGGCCGGCATCGCGTACTTACTCGCAAGCCGACGTAATGCCGGACTTGCAGATGGATGCTGCGACGCAAGGAAGAAATCATGGTGCTCATGTAGCAGAGTTCGGTGCAAAGCAATCAATGCCTGCCACTGCTCATTATTGAGCTTGGGATTGGTCTCGTTATTTGAACTTTGAGCGTTGTCGACCTCGATACACTTCGATTCGACCATGACGAGCCCAGCGTAAATTCCCTTTACCTCAGCAACGAGTTGTTCTTGGCTGATAGGGCGCGTCTCTGGTTGTTTGATCAACACCTCAGTGTTATCAAAATCGGAGGAACGCGGGTGTTCGAACGACCGATTGGAAGCTGCTCGAGGGAGATCTGAACCATTCTGGTCCTTGGATCGCCCGGCATCGGTCCGTCGAGGCGTCGATGCCCCCTCCTCAGGAGTCCACAATCTACCCGCCTTGTGTGCCGGATCTCTTTGGAAGTCGCTATCTTCAGTATGGCTGGCACCAGACGCCTGCGGTTGCTGACGGGCGCGACTGCGCTTTGGATGCGAAGACCTATGATCACCGTCCTTCCTCTTATTTTTTTCCGAAGATGGGCTAGTTGCACCTTGCCTATCGTGTCCGGCAACGGACGACTGTGTGCTCGGGTCGGCATTGTCTATAGGTGGTTGTTTTGAAGTTATTGGATGAAGAGGGCTAGATGGCAGATTCGCCGTCGGCAGTGTTCGCTGGCGGTCACGGATCCTACGCAAGTATAAGTCAGCATTGGAAAATGCGTTTCCGCGACTGAAACCATTACTGTAACCAGGTCTTTTCTATTAAATCGGTTTGGTTGTTGTCGTGGGTGCTATGGCCGCACTTCTGGAAGTGACGCTCCACGTCGACTTTCTCGGAGCTCCCAGGAAACGTATAATCGGTACAATAGGCGCATTTTCGCAAGCTAGAGTCGTTGGCTCGCCTATAATTCGTGAGTCGCTTCGACAGGTCGAGACCAGCACCGCGAGGTTTCTCCGTCATATTCAGCGTACTCGTGATGTTTATGCATAGAAACCGTGGCAGGCCAGATGGACGGTGCGTCAAAGCTCCGGGCTAAAGTAATTCCTGACGGCTGTTGAGCCACCGAGATTGGAAGAACGAGAATCTATCAACACATGAAATTGGCACGAACTCGATTCATATCGATTAAGATGCGAACTGATCCGCCAGCCGCCAGGTCATTTCGAGAGCTGCTCAATTCCTTTCAGCCATTTAGCACTCCGGCTGGCGAGCCATCTTTAGGAGGCAGCAGTGAGGCGGGGGTGCAGGCTGGCTACCTATCCGCATTGATATTTTCCCACCCACCTTTAGCCACCCACACCTTTCACACCCCCTCCCTTGACTTCCTGCCAAAGTAGACTCCTAGGTACGTACCATGTGCATAGGCCCCACTGCTGGTCGCCTTGTTGGGGCTCAAAATGGGACGCGAACCACCAGTCTCCCGTCGCCTCAAGTCCACTGGGGGTTTTCGTCTGCCCCAGATCTAAGAGAAACCCAGCCTGCTCCAGGTTCCAGCTGGCCCGCCCTGCATGTATAACATTCTCCCTTCCACTCACACATCGTAAGGTAAGCCTCGTCCTCTCCCATCCAGACAGACCATGTCTCTGTAGACGAACACAAGGACACCGGTCGCCTCTCTGCACTTTCATATCAGGCGAGGTCATGGAAACGGGAATTCGTAAATGTTCACGGGTCTAGCCGCTGCTGACCGGTGTTGATGTTGTTGATGTTGTTGTTGTTATCTGCAAGGATGACATGAACAGCTATGTGCGAAAAGAGGTGTCCATCATTGCGTCCAGCGCTCGCTGGGCGGTCATGTGCCGTTATATTAGCGTGGACAACCACACAGGATGGGGGCCAAATCTGACCCGACCAAAGTGTACATGTCCCGTCGAGTCGTTTCCAAAAGATGACTTCCGTCAATCACGTTTCGTAGCATTTGTCCCCACTTGGGCCATGCTGGCCATACCAATAAATGTACGCAGCTAATCTTCATAAATGAGTCTGTGCCAGCCCAGCTGTCGAACTCGGCCGACTACCTTGTACCGGGAATTGTCACCTAGAGTACGGAGTATCGGGCTCTCTGCTGACCAAAATCTCAACCATTACGTAGTGCCACCCAATAGGTAAACGACCGCGCTGTTTCCATTTTTCTACATCTTTCCTTTAACAACTAAGACTTCACGTGTGTGATTCTGCGTGAGGCTCGCAGGCATACGGAGTATGCTTCTGTCCTAAACTCACAGCCAACACTGAGCCTTGGGTGTCGGTGTTTCGTTTCGCACTTAAGCCAAATTTTGTTTTCTGCTCTATCAAGTTTCAGTGCTCACTCACTCCGAAGCGTCTCATTGGCTCTGATCATTGGCTCAGCTCATTGGCTCAGGTGGCACAGTGCTGAACCATGAATCAAGTGCCACGTGAGTATTGTTGCTCCAAGGAAGCATCTTGAACATCTCGACTTCCACGGAGATGCATTTGTTGAGAAGTTCCAACAGTCGAGGATTGCCATGGCAAACTGATTACTTCCGATCACGGAATGCTTCTGTCTTGATCTTGCTCTGACAAATGTTCTCATCACCCAAGGTCATGTGGCGACCAATCTCAGGTAACCAACGCCACCTGGTAGAACACAGCCACACCATCGTATGCCGGCACCTCCGTAAATTGCTGTAAAGCAATGCAACACTTACGAAGCGAAGAGTGAACATCCCCGATGTCGTACTTTCCACCACTTAACGAAACTTCTGCGGTCTCTCAATGGATTTGAGCACAACCCGGTGCCTGTGATGGTCTGCGAGATGGATTGATTTGGCGGAGAGGAAGGTCCTAGTGGCCAATATTATACAGTAGCACGTGGGTGGTTGCGCATGATGTGGAAGCCTTCTTCACAAGAAATACCCTCTCACGAGTCCCAGCTGAAAGCTAATAAACTTACAGAGATCGTATACGTAAGGAGGCGACTCTCAAAAACCGATGGGGCGGATGCGAGGCTGGCTGAGCCGCTGAGCCGCTGACACGATAACCGATACTCGTATGTCGACCCACAACAACGGTGTTGACGCTCCATACCAACGCATATTTTTATTCGGGCCTTCTGAGCGCAACGAAAGCTGGCCATTTTCTCACAGACCCGTGGAACTCCATTGAACCAGGCGTCCGGAGACAAAAGCCATGTGCAACTCTGCGCTGAGGTTGGATATCATCAGAATCATGACTGTCTTAGTTCTAGTTGCCTTCAATTGTTTCGAAGCTTCTAGAGCGAATTGACACCGATCTTTCGGAGTAAAGCGTCATGTGGCTTGTGATTATTGCCATACGCTGCGTCTGCCTATGCTGCCTACAGTCAGCTCTTCTGGAGCTCTCAAGAGCCAGGGGTGAGTAACAGGGCATCTATTCGACGACAGGAAAATTTCCAGGCAACCAACGAGAGAATGAATCATCACAATCCATCCAAATCCTTCACGGATAGGGTGAGATGATGTGGTCAGCTGCATCCATGACTCTTGGAGTTTTGAGCCCGACAGGAATGATTGGCGAGTTGCACGAGGCTAAACTTTAACCCCTGGATCATGAAAGAGGCTGCTCTTCACTGGCTACTTCTTGTTTACATCACTGAATGTAAGTAGGCTCAATAATCAGCATAAGGGGCTGCAGAGTACCTTTTTAATCCCGGTTCTTTGCATACAACGGCCTGAGGCTCTTTTTAATGTTTCTACGACGGATGAAAACCTCAGTATCAGTCGTTATCTGACCAAGGATTTTCTGTCGGTCTTTGCGGACTGATCATTGTTTACACCTCAAAGCTTACAAATATCGTCTACAAACAACGTTCTAACATCTGATATTTCTTATGTTAGCCTTGGACTCATCATCCTCGAGCTATGAATGAGAAACTATACCCTGCTCTTGGACAGCCTTTCCTTAACTCCTGCAACATAGTCATTTTTCAATATTTGGCATGCAAAAAGCCAACCAGAACAAATTACGAGACTAGTGAAATGAGGCTGGTTGTTCACCCTCAAATCTTCGAGCCAGTACATACATGGAGTGAATCCTCGTTCAGGTAATGTGCAATTCGTCGGTTCTTCAAAAGCCGCTCGAGGTAGCCGGTTCTAACCGTTCTGGCCAAAATGCAACGCCGCGAACACGTCAGAAGAAGTTAGAACAGGATTCATCCCGAGTGCGTAACAAATTTTGTGCAGTACCACAACAAGTGCCAAAGTGGATGTCACAAGTTAGCAACCTTCCTGGAACGGCAAACGGTGCCTTGCTATCTATGCACGTCATTCAAACAATGAATATATGAGAAATCAAATATGACGCTAATGCGCTGGCGTACTAGTTCAGTCAGACTTCTGATAATTGTATGATGGCTGTCAACGTCGCAGGCAGTATTGGATTACTGGTATCAAAGGCCCAACCTTCTACATGAAATCGTTGGCAGGACATGGCTGGGCCGGCGCGCTGATGGCTAGAATTGGAACATCTCTAATATCTTGAAAGACGTGGAGTTACCATCAAATGTGTTGGCATTGTTCCTGTCTAGATGAGGCTCATGACTAAGTTTGAACTGTTCTAAAGATCTGGCTAGCTTTATTCTCTACTTCGATACCGTATGATATCGAACTCATTACAATATACCAAACATTTCATGTTTGTCAAAGTCAAGTGTAATTGCGATAGTACTGATAATTTCATTTTGCCAGCTTCATACAAAAAAGATATGGCTGGAAAGCCGACTATTACTGTATTGAAAAGTGCGGAATTCGGCTAAATGGGAGACGACAATTTGGGACCTGCATTGAAGTTCAGAGGACAAAGTAGTCGCAGGGTGTGCATAATACGGATATAGAAGTATGTCAAATAAGGTAAAGTCTGTGCCACATCCCATCACTCTGGGAAGGGCGGCAAGGTCCCACTGTTTATGCAGCCGCCACTGCGAACCACTGTTCAGAGTCCAAGTATGTGACAAAATTGACTTCCACTCGATTCATTGAGAAATAATTCCACCACACTTACTCCTGCACTACCATCCCAATTGATACTCTAAAGAAGTAATACCCAAAAGCCCGAATCCCTCTATGCGTAGGAGAATTATTCTGAGTTCAAAGGGACCATTTCTGTTGTGAGTTTAGTGAAAGGAAAACTTTTGGCAAGAAATCGATGCTGTCAACTGCATGGCGCGGTAAGGCAACCACCATCCATGCCACAGACCTGTTTATAGTGGGGACAACAAAGACGAAATGGCAGGTTTTCCTCTTTGTCATTCGTGAGCCAATGCACTTGCCGTGGTTAACATTGATAATTGGTCAGAGTTACCATCGCAATCTTATTCTATGATCAATATGTCATGCCACCAAGGCTGAAGTTCATTTTTCTTCATCAATCTGGTTTGGCATGTTTCAATGCCGCCATATCCTCTTCAAAGAAATCACCATCTTCATCACCAGTCTCCGTGGCATGATATCAACGCTGACCGCTCTGATCCGTCGATAGGCCCAATCCGATGTTGAATTCCAATTCGACAGAACAAAGCACATGTTTTCATCATGAGCCATCACATCACCTTACCATCGGGAGACTTGACGACGCTTAGCAGCCCCAATCTCTGCACCCAACATCCGTTCCCAGCTGAACAAAGCCAGGAGCTTTACCCTACCAACGTTACGCCATGCCGCAGACCATCGTTCGTCTCCCAAGTTCTCACACCGAGACGTCATAGGAGTCTGCTGATATAGAGCAACAATCGAATCGCATTAATAGGCAAACCATGCGCCTGACCGCATACGTCCCTCATCTCCGACTTGGCTACACCGTTCGCACGGGGTCAAAAGAATGGCCAACATGCCCAAGACGGCATGTGCCCGTCGGTGAGGAGCTCTTAGAAACAGTTCACAGCCAACCGATGCCTCGTCATCTCGGCTAGAGGGCAGAGCCGAAGGCAGCAAGGCAACTTCGCCGGCCCCCGTTCAAACCCACTGGCCCAGCAATCAGCCCTACGTGGTAGCGAAGCCCTGCGGCCGTGGACAACGGCCCTGTGCCGTCGACAAAGACCTTTCTCCAGCCGCGCTGTAGAATCAAAAACGCAACGACCGGGAAGTGGCAGTGGGCAGCAAACCAACGATGCCAGCAAATATTTGTTCGGTCGTTCAATCAAACAACATACCTGCGGTTAGTTGGCGCTAGGTCAGCGTGCGGGTAACACGACGCCTCACAGCCGCGGTGGCCAACTTATGGGCAAGCGCCTTTCACCATCGAGGTCGTTGTTCGCGTCTCAGCACATGGACATGGTTGCGGTTTAGGTATTTTCGTGCTGATCCGGGGGTCGCCTGCTGATGTTCCAAGTTATGATAGACTAGCATCATATGCGATCGACACGCTGGTATTTTACACGAAGCACGTCGCAAGGCTGTGTGGCTGGTAAACTGGCATCTGGTTGCCTCAAACTATATGCCTCGAGCCGCCATCGAAACCTGTCGCCACCTTTCAGGGAGGTCAACATGAGTATGCGTCCCTCCGAGCCTTGTCTTTGAAATGGATGGCCCTGCAAGGCAGACGTCCTCAATTTTGGACCGGAATTCGTAAACGAAAGCGTATTGGGATCGTAGGGTCAACATGGGAAACATTTTCCAAAACACGGTTGATTCAATTAGGTGTCTCACCACACCCCTCTTTTTCTCTCCCTTGGATGCACCACAGTGCCCAGCTATCCCATGAATGGTTTCATTTACTGTCGCTATCAAGTTGATAGGCAATCGAAATTTCCTCCATAGCCTTGGCTTCAATGAGGATGATGGTGCCGGCGCCAGCGCCCGTTTCTTCATCTTGAGCTATCCAGGGCGTGTTTTCAATAGGTGCTTGGTGTTCTCGAAGCAGCGTCAGCGCGTGCTATTGTTGATTCATTGGCCATCAACGTTTTTTCTATTGGTTGCTGCGCCACCCATTCCCCTCCTTGCGACTAACCCAAACACATGAACTACCTTACACCA